CCCACGGCCACTCGCCCAGCCCGGAGCAATCCCTCATGAAACACGTGGAGAAACTGGCAATGGTTTCTCCTCCCCGTAGTTACAGAACTACGCTCACGCCTGGCTGCTCTGGAGGTGCAAAGCACAACCCAACCCGCACCTCCCTCGCACAGAGCAGCAGCGGCACCTCTGGCCTGTGCGAGAGAGGGAAAGGCTCTCCGTGCTCCGAACGCAGCGAAGGAATTGCTCGTAAGGTGCTCCCTCTGGAGCCCCACGCAGGCCTGAGGGAGGCAAGCAGCGTTTGCAGCTCCATGCCCTGTTCATACGGACACATACTATGCAGAACACACACCCCACTCCCAGTTTGTTCTGCTTCTTGCGTGCCCCGTGTGAACAGACACAAAACCGTCCCCCAAAAGTTCTGCTCACTCAGCTCTGCCCGACTGCAGAGGCTGCAGAGCCTGCCTGCAACAGGCAGAGGCAGCTGCCAGCAGGGAGAGACCCCTGCTGTAACCAAAGTACAGTCTCTGCCAGAAAATGGCCATGATCATGTTTCTCAACTAGTTCTGCCTCCAAAAAGGAGCCCTTATCCCAGGTGGCTTCAGCTATGACCTCAGTCCTTTACCTTCAGTCTCTTGTGTCCCTGGAAGGAAAGAAAGCATCCCCCCAGATGACAGGAACAAGACACAGGACACTGCACGCTGCAGAGGGGGTTTTTCAGAAGCGTTTATTTCACTGCTGACACTGGGGCTGCAGGAAGCAGCTGCTCACTGAGCTGCCCTGTGCTGCAGGAACATCACTCCCCTCAATCACAACAATCCACGGACGGTTGGTGTCTGAATGGTGAGACCTTCCAGCACCTGCACTACACAGACCTACAGCACTGGGACATTCACCTGGTAGGGACATCACTTTAAAGGATCTAAAATAACGATAATTATAATAAAGCAATCTATGAAGTAACACTTGGAGGCATCATGCAGAAACTGGATTACTTTAGACTACATGGCAGCTCAGATTTGCTGGATTTATTGGTGGACAAGTGCTAACTACTTCCCTGCCAGTCCAACACAGTGCCAAGCTGGGGGAGGGTTCTCAGATGGGACAACAACTTTCCCACCCAATGACAGGAAACACTCCCAGGTCACAGTTTTTATATCCAGAACTACACAAGATTATGTGCTTGTAAAAGGTGCTGGGGAGCCCTGGAACTTCCTTTTATGACACTGCCTGCTTCCTACCAAGTGGCAGACACTTATAGTGCAGAAGAGTGCCTGAGCTGTGGGGTTTATTTCTGCTATTTCTTTTTTTAAATAAAACCAAAAGCTGACTGGTAAAATGTTAGCCTTAGCATAGGTGGGTTAAAAAAATAAATCACAATACACTGGTAATATATAGATTGGCCCATAAAAAAGAAGAAGCTATATACTATTGCCCCATAAGGAGTTTTTCTTCACCTACAGTTTCAGCTTCCCAAGTGAGGTAGGGAGAGGGTGACCACGGGTAAAAAAAGGTGGTGTTTCCAAAGGATTCCACTGTTTTGAAGTCGTGCTAATCCTTCATAGCTAAAGTGTTCTTTAAAGAAACACTGCCTTTTCTTCACAACAACATTCAGAATTTTG